AGATTAATATATACTAATTAAGTAGTTTTAATATAATAAAAATAATAATTTTAACTTATAATAACTTATTTTTCTTTTTATTATTTTTAATAATATTATTAATTTATTTTTAATATTTAAATAGCTATAAATTCTAATTATTAGGCTTTTAGTAGTTAATATAAAACATGTTTTTAGAGAATATAGCTTAATCATTTAAGTTAAAAAAATAACTTAAATAAAGTTAAATATAAAAAAGCAATTATAATACTATAAAGTATATTTATAATAGAAGTTTTTAATTATATTATAGATCATATATTTAGCTTAGTTATTTATATTCTTTTATTTAATCCTTTTAATTTTAATATCTAATTATATTTTAATATTATTCTTAGAAATTTTAATCTCTATATAAACTTAAAATTCTATAGGAAATAATAATAATAATAATAATAATAATAGTTATAATAAAAATAATAATATATATTCTTTAAACAAATTATCCTCTTTAATAATAAAATTAATTAGTAGCTTTATAATAATCTCAATAATAGCTTTAATAATAGCTTTAATATTATTAACTTCTAGCTATTATATCTTTTTAATTTTATTAATATTATTATTTATTACCTCTAATATTAATAAGTTATATTACTTCTTTATAAAATTTATTTATAGCTAAAGCTACTAAGTAGTAACTTTAATTATAGGTTTAAATATACGACTATTAATATAAAACCTTTTGTTTTTTTTATATTTACTCTATTTTAAAAATTAAAACCTATTATTATTCCTCTTAATTAAGTTTATTTTTTTTAAAAGCTAATAGAGGATTTAGCTAACTATTTTATAATTAACTAAAAGTTTTGTATTATAGCTATTGTATTAAAAATAATATCTTTTAAATTTAATTAAAATTAATATAATATAAGCTTTGTTTTATAATCTTCTTTTTAAAAAACTAATAAATAAAAAAGATTTTTATATTATTAGCTCTATTAATAGAGGTTTTAGTTTTAAAAAGATATTTTTATATTTATATAATACTACTAACTTTAATAACTATACTAGTTATATAGGGGTTAGATTATTATTATTTTACTCTAATATTATAAAATTATATTTATATTACGCTCTAAATAGTATTAAAAAGCCTAAATTATGTTAAAAAGCGCGTTAATTAATATTAGTAGCGTCGTTATAGATAGTAAAAAGTAGCGTGGAGGGGTAATAAATCGCGCACTAACAGGGGTTTCAGGTAAGGCAAACGCAAATGAGTGTGATCTGATGCGGTATATAATCTGGTACCCTCCACATTGTGTGAATAGGCTGAGAGCTCCAGGTGGGAGTTCCACAGGATGCGTATGTTCACATCACCACCTGCAGGTTCGTCATATTCCGTATCATCTGCGAGCTCGGTGCTGACGTTTTGTCGCAACCATCTACTTCTTCGACGAGTGATGCCATCTTCACTGCCCTCACTTGGGGATCGAGGGCGTTTTCGTGTCTGGTCCCACTGGCCTTTGGCGTATTTCTCGATCGCTGCGGCATGCTTCGACACTAATCCCGCCTTCTTGCCCTCCTTGCCGTTGGTGGGGCGCACCTTTCCACTCGGTATACCGAAGTCCAACTTGATGCGTGTGTCCGGGAGGCAGCGCACGCAGATGGAATCGATTCTCCCCTCGATGTACGGCAACTTCATCAGCTCTCCGCCTTGGTCCGTGATCAACTTGTTGGCCTTGGCGACCATGAGGAGATGTAGATACAAATCTCTCAGAGTGATGATGTCGTTGGGAGGAGCTGGCAAGGGTCCACCGGCGGCTAGACCCAGGGCTTCGCAATAGAAATCGTAGACAACTTGGAGTTTGCCCTGTTTCCAGGCTGCAGCAACTCTCGCAGAAAACTCCGTCCTCCAGCAGGAGAGCCACAAGGGGTACAGAGGGTCAGTCAGACGCCAAAGCTCGTCCACGGCGTCTTTGCCGTGACGAGCGTCAATCAATATAGCGTCCTGTTCCACCTCGGGGATATGGCCCTTGTTGGCTGGTACCGGGTGGAAACGACGGACGTCCCTGGGATCGAGTCCGCGTTGATCCTTGTATTTGAATTTGCCGCTCTTCACTGTCTGGGCCAGCTTCTTGCCGTGGTCGATCCAATCCTTCGGGTCCTTCCACACCACAATCTTGGCAATGCCAAGCTTCTTGAAAGACTCGTTCACTTTGGAGTCGCCGGGGTTCTTCTCCGGGGACCTGTACTTGTAGGCATGCCGATCGGCGGGCTTGAGAATTGTATCGAATGTGGGGTTGTCATCGGCCATGGCTCTGGGAGATATCAGCAACTGAGGTTGGGTAAGGTAATTTCTTGAGGGGCGGACCTTTGCGGGGGATGAATTCGATACTGATAGAATCGTGAGGACCCTGGAGCCGATGGGGAAGACGACGGCGAGTAAAGAAAGCGGCGGCGGCGACGACGACGACGACGACGACGACGACGACGACGACGACCACGACCACGACCACGACCACGACCACGACCACGACCACGACCACGACCACGACCACGACCACGACAGCGACGGAAGATGATGGTAGCGAGAGATGATGGCCGATGATGATAGCGAGAGCCGGGGATGACGAGATTCGGGGATGTCGAGAGATGAGGATAGAGTGAGACGAGGGTAGTGAGAGATGAGGATGGTGAGAGACGTTGGTGGTGAGAGATGATGTTAGCGACAGACGATGGCGTCAAGAGACGGAGATGGTGCTGAATGGAGAGAGACGGTGTTGAAAGCCAAAGGTGACGCCGATGGCAGTCGGTGGTGTCAATAGAGAGCAGTATCTATCAGGGGATGAGGGGGACGATGGAGATTGAAAGAGAGGAAGAATTCAATCTTTTCGAGAATACTGCTTTGCAGCAGCGGACCTCAGTTCTTTCAGGGTAGCATACGAACGGAAGCTGCCTGACCGTCTCCAGCCTTCTTCCTCCCGTTCCCGTCCCCCTTGTCGTGACTTCGCCGCAGCTTCTTGTACCTCGCCCCTCTGCATTGCATATGCTCAGACTCACAACCAAGTGGGAGGCTGCTCTTGGGTCTTGCCAAACCTGCTACTGGACAGACATTCTGAAACATGCAAACAATTTGGACTGACGATGGTGAACCTGGCATTCCTAATGTGGCTCCTTGTCTGGGAAATGTTCTGGTGAACTCTTTCACAGTCATCTCTGGAAGAAGGTGTGTCTCTTCCTGAGAAGAAACACCTAAGGAATATCTGCCTAAATAAGCACCTTCAAGAACAACAAAAGCATAATATGTTCCTGATTACGAGATGTTCCTCCCTCTACTCTACCTGAACAGCAGGATGGAGAAGGGAATCTGCTCAATTTAGAGTCCCAACGAAGCAAATGCACATCTGAAAGCTGCAGTACCTGCATAATGATGGGGCAGCAGAAACTTCTGCTACCGTCTTATGAGTATCAACCTCCTTCCTTACCTTTCGCCCTCTTTAGCTGTGGGCTCCTTCTCACCTTGGCCTGCTTGAAACCAGCTTGGTGCCAGTGATAACTGGGCAACAGACCCATGCTGTTTGTTTATTGATCGTGCCGCGAAACTTGGTCGTAAGCTTTGCCCATATTCTCAGGCGCGAGTGAGAAGTAGAGCCAAGATAACGTGGTATACGTACTTCTACTTCGTCTTTGGTGTCTAAGACCAGTCAAGATGAGTTCTCTATCTTCACCGCTACGACAAAATGCATTGACCAGACGGATACGGGAAGCCCGCAGTTTACATCACTTTGGTGGATGTCTGATCTACCCGCATCTCTGTTTGTCCTCTTAGCTCGGAGCTGGCGCTCACCTCGCCAGCTGGGAGAATGCCATCCATCATTGCCATTTTAGCTTTCGTTAGTAGAAGAATGCACAAGCTCTCAGAGGCAGGTTCTAGCCATGATAGGATGACATCTCTAATATTGTCTCAACAGTCGCTATCTTTTTGTGTGCTTCCACCGTTCTTTTGCATTTGATGGCATGATCCGGAGCGTAGCTCCTGAGGCGGAGCGGAGCGAGGGAGTTATATTTAGAAAGATTGGGCGTAAAGACGATATCAGGGGTCTCTTCGCTAATTAATCGCCTTTTTTAGCCCCCCCCCCCAAAACCCCCGCTGATTAGTCGGCTGAGCTACCCTAATGTGAGGCTATTCCGAGAGGGCAGGAGGCAGGTCTTTGGGGGACAGGTGTGAAGGCAGATGTGAGGGCTGCGCTCCGGGATTTTCGCTGAAGGCCTGCCGGGCGCCAACCCTTTAGCGTCCGTAGGGTCTGATAATCCGGTGGCCAGAAAGGAGTAGTCTTTGGCTGTTTGACGTGGATGATGCTAGGTTCTGCCTTGTCTGATCAAAGAGCTTCAATGGCGGGAGAGATCACTGGGAGAGATCGCCGCGAGGTCCATGCGCTGACATGCAGGTACCCGACTGATGGATTGACGACGTGTACGTACAACGTAAGTTTGGCACTGTTATGTGGTAGGTTTTTTGATGCCTAGGACGGAGGCCACTGGGCAGCTGCACCTCCAACCCATCAATCTAGCTTGTCTTGGATCATTTGATTGCTTGCGATACAATTTTATTTCCAATACTTTCCGTGTGTTACCTTGACAAGAATGCAGGAAAACTCGGATGTGGCCATTCACATACATGCACCTTTCTCCAGCTGCTTGTACCACAAAGCTTACAAGGTTGTCACCATCTTTTCTGTGTCACCTTTTGATCTTCTGCGTTTCTCTTTGAGCCCCCGAAGTCTACGCACGTTCTCCTTGGAGAGACCACAGATTCTACCGGAACATTGTTTCCTTCTGCAAGCCTTTCGGAGTTCGCCCAGGCTCATTCTACTTATGATTCACTGGAAATCTTCGACAGAATAGCAACTGGTAAGGTGTTCATCGACACTCACTCCCAAGCGCATCTCTCCATCATCACTCATAAGTAGTCTGACATCAACACCATCAGGTCTCAACCACCAGTACCTCTCATCATCATGGCCACTTGGATCAGTCCTTCAGAGGTGTACGCCGTTGGCAAAGAGGTGACTCTGTACCCATACGAACCGGTCCGCCCCCATGGCATGCCACAGTACGACCGCAATTGTCTCCCATCCGACCTCCGCCCTGGCGAGCTGCGCGACTTTGCCAAACCTGATAAGAAACTCGAGGCCAAGATCAGGATCACGGAGGCTATTCGGATTGATCAGAATCGATATTCGCAGATTTTTGCCTGTGAGGTTGTGGCCGTCCCGCGCAAGGAACGCCCCGCCTGGTACCAGCAATCTCTCAGTCGGACCGACAAAAGCATGAAGCAAGAGCCTCTGACCAGGAAGCTTGTCTGCAAGACGATCGACGCGCAATTTTTCCCGAGCAGCTTTGGCGGTCCTTACAGCAACTCGGAGGAGGCCGACGGCTTGCTAAGCCGTATCCACGCAGCCTATGCCTACTATCGCTGGAACAAGAAGACCGGTTACCCGCACACTATGCCGCAATTCTATGGCGGCTGGGCCATGAAAGTCGCTGGCGGTATGGACGAGAAGGGCCACACGGTCTCAAGACACGTTGGTTTAGTTCTCATTGAGCACATTGACGGCTTCTCTGTCGAGGACTTGTGCATTCGCGATGACGATGATCAAGACTGGGGTACCCTCGCACCGCGTCCCGGACCTGTCCGCTTCCGTACAAACGGTAACGAATACAAGAACATCACCTTCGACCTGAAGACTCGGCAGCTTGTGATGCAGCAGGCGATTCACGGTGTTGTACAAGGTTTTCAGCTCGGTGTTGAGCACCACGATTTCGGTCCGTGGAACATATTCGTCACGATGCGAGATGGATACCAGGGCCTCAGAGAGTTACGAGTCGTGATTCTTGACCATAATGACACTCAGGTATGGTACGAGACTAAGTACGCTAAGAAGTCTGGCAGAGCCTACTGTCTACAGAAGCTACCTCATCCCGTCCACCCTGCCGAGAGATGCAGTGCTGTTGCCCTTGAGAAGTGGCGTGGCTTTTGGCCCCCTACCTCTGATCAGTGTTCTGGGGCTGATGCAGACAAGCAGTTCGCCGCCTGGCTACGCCACAAGGACGTGTTTGGGCCCAAGGTCGAAGCGAAGACGCCCCCGTATCGAGGCATACCCGATGAGAACTTGCAGTCAAAGCGGTCCGAGAAGCATTTGAAGAAGTCCGTTGTGCAGAGGCCCTACGCCCAGAAGACGTACTCCACCTTCGACACACTGGACTTGATTGGGGAGAGGGAGGATGCGATAGATAACCCCATCATTCCTACCATCATGGGCGAGCTGGGAGTACAAGATAAGCCGGAAGAGTTCGTGAAGGGCATCGAGATGGCCCTGCGAAGGGCGTTCCTAGGGGGCTACCAAATGAAGTCGGAGGTCAACGGCTCGCCTTATCCTGGACCAGACCATATATGGTGGAAGGCATGGCGAGATGGCAAACCTGCTCCTCATGGTCCGACAAGCGCCTCATCGAAAGAACTCGGTTCAGAATCCCTCGACTTTGTGCAATCCGACGCTCCGACTCCAGTGAACAGCCCGTGTCCGGAGACTACCCTCCAGCGCAAGGTCGAGACATCTCCACCTCCACCAGTCTTAGAGCCCCAGGAGACGACCGCGGTCGTCAGGAATCAAGCATCTCGTCCCGAGGACGCGGACACAATCGCCGGCAGTCAAGCAATCCGTTCGGAGGAGGTAATCAGAATCGCCAGCAGTCAACCACTCCGACCCGAGGACGCGGAAACAATCGCCAGCAGTCAAGCGCTTTGGCCCGAGGAGACTCCATCACATTACCCTTGCGCCGGAGGGAGAACCGTCCGTCCCAGGGCCCAACGACTCCCACGGCTTTGGCTCAACAGTTTCCTGGTCAGGAGAACAGGCCTACATCATCGTCTCAAGAGGAGATGGATCTTGAGGTTGAAGGTGACTATGGTTGTTGAGGCCTGCTTCCGGCCGAAGAGGAGGTGAACGCCGGAAGGGTACGGCGAGGCACATACATGGATGTTAGAGTGATTTTGAAAATGTTTGGTTTAGGTACTTGGGGCTTCAGCTAGACTGCGTCTATTCCCCCGCCTTCTCATATCCAGGGAACTTTGGAAGAACGATGTTTTTGACTATCCCAGACACATGTTGGACAAAGGAAAAGGAGAGATCAGAGGCATAATGACGCGCACACAAATTGTTTTCAGCGGTCACGGAAGTCGGACTAGATGTTGGCATTGTTGAGTGGTTGGACTGGATTTGAATTGGTTTCCTTTCTTCTTATCCGCTCGTCTTTCCTGATCGCTGACTTGTGATGTGTTTGATTCGTGACCTCGCACCGGGTTGCACGAAGAGTCCAAATATGTGACGGGATTAGCCCTTGCTGTGATCGTCAATGAGACTCGAGCATCAAGATGGGCTTTATACCGTGTGGTTATAGCTGTTTCCAATCTTCCCATCCCACCAGTCATGATAGCAACCGAGGTGACCATCTCGTGCCTAATGCCAACAATTGTATGCCGCGATCGCCTTCCGAGCCATTCATCGTCAGGCATAGAACCCACAAGGGGGCAGCATGTCGAGGCAGAAGAAGCGTGACCACCTGTTGTGAGGTACGCCTTGTAGTACCCTCGCCCATATTTTCCTCGAGGTGGTCTGGCATTCAATGGCAGACTGGCGCTGAATGCTTGTGAACGTCTAAATCGTCGCCTCGGTCGGCGGGGTGGCAGTCAATTCCACGGGCGGTTCCAACGGAAATGAGAATCGGGCTGCAAACAAAAACGACAAGCCCTCCTTCCCAGCATCGGCGGGAAAAGAAAAGTGTTTCGACATCCTGTTGGATGTATTCACACGTCCGAGATTACGACCTTGCCGCGGTCTTTCATCCTTTGATCACCGCCACGGCCAATCTCCATCAATGGCGTCGGGACGGGTGTCGCGTACACGGTCCAGGATGAGCAGCGTCTTCTTCAACAACGCAAACTGATTGGACAAGTCATGAGGAAATATGCTTGCAAAGTTCGAATCAGACGTGAATACGAACAAAAGGCCTCTATCCCCAGCGGATCACGACGCTCGAAGAGACCTTCTGAAGCGAAGACTTCAAGGTGATCATCTCGGGTCTCGTACCCTGATAGAGGCGTTCGGAGCGGTTGAGAGAACTGGAGCCATCCAAATCTTTACGGACTATTCCTCAAAGTGCAGCAGCACCTTCCGCAAATTCTTCAGCCTTGAATAATTGTGCAACGCTGGGTTACTCACTCCCCAAGCATCAGATGTCGTGCAAACAAAGCGACCCCCCCTGCCACGAGAAAACATCTCGGGGCAACACCGAAGATACGTACCCCAAAATCCTACCCGCACGGCCCAAGCCACCGAGCCAGACCGCCGCAGTGGAACCCATCCGACAGGCCAGGCGCTGACAGCACTCACAGCTGCACCTCAGTCCAGCGCCCGATAGGAAAACCCCACCATCTTATCAATCTAATCACCGAAACATCCCCAGCACCTCACGTTTTCGACAACCATTCCCTCACCTTCCCCAACCCAACCCAACCCATCGTCGGCGCCTCACTCCCCCTGCTCCTTCCCTCTTCGCCGCCAAAAGCCACAACAAACACAATCTTCGAAACACAGACAATGGCCGACCAAATAACTGAGTCCTCCCTCCGCGACGCCCTCGCCCAGCGCCTGCAGGCCGTCCACGTCGAAGTCACAGACATGTCCGGTACGCGAAACCACCCCCCTCCACCCTCCCACGATACCAAAAACGTCATACCCCGCCGGCGCCGGCGCCGGTGCCGCTTCCGCGATCCGCGCAACCTCCTCCCAACATGACCTGCGACGCAACAGCTGACCTCTTCTCTCTCTACTCACACAGGCGGCTGCGGCCAATCCTTCACCTCGCTAATCGTCTCCCCCGCCTTCGAGAAGCAAACGTCCCTCAAGCGCCACCGCCTCGTCAACGCCGCCCTCAAGGACGAGATCGCCCGCATCCACGCCTGGAGCGCAAAGTGCCAGACCCCCGCCGAGTGGGAGCGCGACCGCGCCGCCGCCGCCGCCGACGGTCCCCCTCTGGACGGCACGGTCGGCGGACGGGTGGAGGGCGTTGCGCAGTAATGGGAAAAGGAGGAACGTTTTCTTTAAATACATACCCAGCCCCTTCCTTCACTTCTCCACGGTCTACGGGTTGTGGGGAAGAAACATGGCATATTTGACGATGCGGCATGAGGTTCGGATATCATGAAACGGAGGACATCATCAGGATCTCTCGGACGGCGCGATAGGTGTTTGGACCAAGACACCCATTTTTTCGAGTATATACATTTTGGTTTGCGGGAAATGTCAATGAAAAGTTGAAAAAAGGAGGCAGGCTTTTTCATGGCTTCGTTCTTTGTCATATATCAACCTATTTGAAACTTGCTGCTCCAAACAGCATGCCTGGACTCCGGACGAAACAGCCCCCATTAGTCCTACATCTAAAACAACCCCAGCAAATCCTCATTCGTCTTCTTTCCGTTGCCTTCACTTGGTTGTGCGGGTGGGTTCTGGGTCTGGTTCAACTGCATGGCCGCCGGCAGGGGCTGGCCTGATCCCGTGTTGCCAAAGTCAAGGCCGGAGAATCCATTCATCAAGTCGTTCATGCCGCCACCTCCTGCTGCTCCAGGGCTCATGGGGTTCGCAGCTGCTTGTTGCTGCTGCGGCGGCGGGGCGTCGAACAGACCCATCATATCAGCCATAGCACTTGATGGCGCGCCACCTGAGGGGCTGGCAACTCTGTCTGGAGTGTTGACATTGCTGTTCTGCTCAGCAGACGCAGGAGCAGCACCGTCGAAGTCGATGTCGAGCAGGTTTTCGATGTTGTTTTGTGGGGGAGGGTTGCCGTTGGCAGCTGCCGCCACCGACGCGGCGATAGGGTTCTCGGCTGCCTCCTGCCGTTGTTCGCGGATGGCCGCCCGCTGAATCTCGTCCGCTCCGAAACGACCCTTGCCGACGAATGATTCCGGTGGCTTGTGGTATACAGATGCAAGAGTGGAAAGCTCAGCCAGCAGCTGCTCCAAGAGGGCAGGGGGAAGACTGGTCATTGTTGTGGAGATGGCCGGCTTTTGTGAGAGAATGATATTCTTGGCGACGTCCAAGTCACCCGACAACAGACGCCAGTAGACATAAGCTCTGTCGCGAATATCGGGGTTGTCGTTATCGGTTGTTGCCGATTGCAGTATCTTCTGTACAAGGCCTTGTGTGTTGCCAGGCTTCTTCAGGAAGAGCTTGACAACTGCTGTGAGAATTTGAAGTTGGGTCTTCTGTAGTTAGCGGTGGAATCGACATGTAGGGAAGAAGGACAAACCTGTGTGAACTCCTCCATGAAGCCGTCTACGAAGCTCTCAAGAATCTCATCCGCATTGCTAATCTTCTCCGCATACTCACCGACGATCCAGATAAGCGATCCTCTCGCTGTGGGCTCGTCGAGTTCATCGATGTGCTGGCATAGCGTAGGAATGACGCCTTCGTAGCCGGGATATTTACGCAGAATATCCTTAATGACAACCACGACCTCCTGCACAACATAGTTGACCTTGGTGGCAATCAGATCCAGCAGCGCATTGACGCACTTCTGGCTGGCGCTCTCAATCTTGATCGCGACCTGTCCAATCGCCTTGACTGCGCGCTTGACAAAGTCCATGTCGACTTCCAGCGCATACTCCTTCAACTCTGCGAGAAGCTGATCAAAGTTCTTGTCGTTGGCTATCCGGACCATAATCTCAAGCTTCTGAAGCTTGACATAGGGTGGGTCGTTGTATTTACAAAAGAAAACACGCAGCTCCTTGCTAAGAATGTCGGGCTTGGCCTGGAGAAGGAGGTCGATGTTGCGCAGAGCGACGTACTGAACTTCGGGAGCGGAGGCGACAAGCGTAACCAGGGGAGGCGCCATCTTCTTGAGATACGCCCGCACCAGCTCGGGGTTGATCGCCTTCATGTGGATAAAGACGACCTTGACAGCAGCCAAAACGACACTAGGGTTGACGTGCTGGAACTGGGGTGCTACTCTCTCGCAAATGTGCTCGGACTCCTTAACGTCCACGGCGGGGTAATCGGCCAGCGTGGTTAAGATCGTGACGCGTCCCCATTCTGTGCACTCATTCAAAGCCATCAAGAGCTTCTTGAGCGTTGCTGGGGTCACCACGAGGGCTCTCGTCTCTGGGGCGGTTTCGGTGATTTCTGAGAGAGCCTGAACCGAGTTTGCGACGACCATGGGGTTCGGGTCGCCGATGAGCTCTTGCAGGGATTCCAAGAAGCCGTTTTCTATACACATGGTCGGGTTCAAGTCGAAAAGCTTCGCCACGCAAATGGCGGCTGTCTTGCGAACGTAGGGCGACTCGTCTCGTAGCGTTTTCCGCAGCGGTTCCTCCATGTAATCCACCATCTTATCGACTCTGATACACCCCATCGTTCGGATCGCTAATGCACGGATAAGTGGATTTGGGTCTTCGGAATCCTGAACGAAGGTATTGACGGCAAGAATGCAGAGGTCGGGGTGCGACTTTGCGTAGTTCCTTTGGCCCCTGTCAGCAACTTGCTTTGACACAGTCGTCGCCGGTGATAGCGACCGACCCCGCGGAAACTCACATGAGGTATAGATAGACGAGCTTCTTCTGGTCCAGATCTCCAGTCGCAATGTTCTTCAGAACGTCGGGGAACAAAGCTGAGACATCCTTGCCCAACGTCATCGCCATGATGGTCTTCTGAATGGACTCCTTGCGCTCGTAGGCATATTGAGAGACAAGACCTGCTCGCAGTTCGAAAGTCTCTCCCTTCCTCGGGGGAGCAAAGGCCCCACGAATGCGATTGACCGCCATGGTGCTGGATGTGTTGCGTGTCGTCGAGGGGCTCGGTGGGTGCGGTGGTAGGACGGAAGATGGAACGGTGAACTCGCGTCAGGAGCGGGTCGGGGGAGTGGGAGAGGTGGCCAGTCCGATCAGGACCTG